TGTCTTCTTCTTATTTCACTGGGAATAAATCATTAATTTGTTATCTGTCACTATCTATCACTATCCTCCTTTAGCAAGTTAATACCAATATACTAGATTTCCTTCCAGCTCAGGGTGAGCAAAACATGTCTGTAGTGATTTCGTGCCATCTCTGACATGCATCATGGCGACTGCCAAGAGACAAAAAGTTGTGTGTTACACTTTGCAAGAGAAATGGAACAACAACATCTTCTTCAAGATAAGAGGAAACCAGTGTGTCTAGTTTGTGGGGACAGGCAGAATAAACAAAACAGACCACAGCGATCTCATTGTTAATTCTCACTGCAATATTATCCGGCTACGGATCTCTTGTTATCAGTCCAGACCCAAAACCACCAGAGATCCATCAAAAGTGCGGAGACCCGTGGGGAAGCCGACAACCCCCGAAGGCTTTTCAAAGACGGGGAACACAGATTCCCAGCAACCTGCATGGCAATGAGGAGCGATGCCCTCTGTGGGGAGTGCAGTGTGAATCAGCAGGATGAAGATGTGTCTAACAGCAGACAGCAGCTCTCTTTAGGACAGAAATGCCAAACTGACACACATGCAACCTCAATACAGAACAGGCTAAACTGCATGTGTAACCCATCAAAATGAATTGCATTCCGTGCATGAAGACACTAAAACACAAATACTAAATGCAATGATACAATGCAAGAGCTCCATCTGAATCCATCCATTATCTATAATGCTCATCTTTTAAAGGTTTATAGGGGGCTTAAGCCAATCCATCTGAATGACAAGTGGATCATTCTCATTCCTATATTAATCACTTGCCTGATATTAATTAACTTGCTATAACGTTTGTAAATGTAATAAATAAGGAGTCCAGCAACATTGTGGATCAGAAAAAAGAACCTATAATTATAATCATGAGAAATAGCTGTATATCACAGTATATATACAATGAAATGCACATGAACATGCACCACATCTACCATAAGCAAGTAAATACATCAATTACAAAAGGAGTGTGTAAATGTTTAATATCATAAATGTAGGTTGGATTTTTAAGTGAACAGGTCTACATTCCCTGTCATGTACAGAGAAAAGTTTCACTGTATTAATGTAACTGTGATACTAAATAGTCGTATTCCAAACGTGTGCACAGAGTGACAGTTGCAAAAGGGTTTTGAGTCGATGTTGTGCTAAGAGTCACTGATAGTCAAAACACCCAGGTTTACTTTGCATGTAGTTCTCCCAGGTGATATGTGCTGCTGGTGACGCCCCTGAACTAACAGGAAAGCTTTGATAACAGCAATAGCCCAAGTAGAGAAAACAATCCTTCCACTTTTCTAATTCTACAGTATATCCAGGAGGTACAGTGGATACAGGTTCTGGATATAATAAGTAAACTTCATGAAAAATATTTGTTTCATCTTCCGATTAGTTTCCAGTTAAAATGTAAAGCCGATATATTGTCCTGCTCCTTCGCTGCCTCATGCGTCCATGCTTCGGTTAAAGGTCAACAAGGTTGATGCTGATGTCATTACGGCATCTTGATCCATGTCCACTCCTTCCTCTTCTTCATCTTCTTTTGTCCTTGTCTCACAATGCTGATCTGTTTGCAGCCAGTCTCCAGGAAACACATCAGATCAGAGTACCAGTCTCCATTCAACCCTGCCAAACAAAGACATCATAAATACACAGCGTCAACACACGTATCACAGTGTGCATTACTCAAGGCGAGACTAAAAACACACACATTTTTAATTTACTGTGTCGCCCCTGAATGTGACAGAAAGTGAAAGTGGCAGGGTGAACTAGGAGAAGATTTAGTTGGATTAATCAACCTAACAAGATGAGGTGACCTAAAAACATCTGACGGACTAAATGACTTTAAAATGACAAAAAAAACTGACGTATGAAATAAGAAAAACAGTCAAAAGCAAAGCTGAAGTTTCAATAACAGATAAAAGAAATGCAACAATACAATTTGGCTCTCGATAAAAGTTGTATGCAGCTTATTCCAACTAGCATCTGTACGGGCCCAGCTCTTTGGAAACTTGTGGCTAAAATGGACAAAGTGATCATCACAAAAAGAAAGATTCTATCAAGCTAAACGTTGTACTGCTGGATCAAAAGAGTAAAACCCAGGGTTGTAAGTAATCTGGAATAAAACAGTCTAGTTAATCTTATACGTGTTGGTAGTTATGTTCGTCCTTATCTGGATATTTGATGATTTAATTACTCCGACATGCATCAATGTAAAAGTTAGATATTAAAGAAAATAGGTGATATCCAAACATAAAGATGTCTTACCTTTGAGGTCTGACTAGTTTTCTTCATCCATCAATGCCGATCCTCCATCTCTGGTATTTGCTCCACCGCCGCAGCGCCAGAGGTTTTTATATTAAAAGGTCAAATCTATTCAGTCCTCGTTTTATCACATTTCATGGGGGGTGATCAGGGAAGAAAGGGGAAATGTTCACCTTGCACATGGAGCCTTTAGGTTCAGACTGTAAAGCATGTTGCAGTTCTGGCCTCGCCCCATTCAGTTATGCCACTATAGGCATTTTTCAGAAAGGGTGTCAAAGGTAAAACACCATCAAGTGTCTGAACCTGTAGATTTTTTAATAACTGAAACTCTAACCTGCTCGACTTAAGTCTATATCAGCACATAGGGTGTTTAACATGTGATTAAACTTAGAATTAACTGTCAAAGCATAACGAGCTCAACAATAAATTGGCCTGACCATGTCCTGTATTTCTGAATACTTTTGATCCTGCCTTAATATTCCACTTTTTTTTTTTGTTCATGTTTGTATGTTTCCCTTTGACACAGCATTGACTACATAACCATAAAAATAGTGAACTGTGCCTGTATGTGATCTTATTTCTAATTTTGAAATTCATAAACACTTAAATCTTAATGTCCAACTCAGCTCAGTGATCGTTCCTCGGCCAAAAACTAATTTAATGAGCATTTGTACTTGACTGAGTGGATGTAAGGTTTACTGCCTTAACCCTGGATGAATACATCAACTAATAAATAACCTTGTGGTGCACGAGTGTGTGATTAAAGTCTCTCATTTGTTTCTGTTTCTCCTGCTTCACGCCTTCGGGTACTTTCTTTCTGTCTCACCCTTAAAAACACGTCACACTGAGTCACTTTGTCTACGTTACGGCTGTTTGTCTCTGAAACTCCATTTATTGTGGCTGTTGCCCCTGTCGGCCATGTGCACCGGCCCCGTCCAGACATCCTCCACCGCATGAGCAGCAGAGAGGAGTCAGCACAGATCAGCCCTGACGTGATTGGCCAATGCTCAGTCAGCAGACATCAGAAGATGAACGTTATTGGCCGGCTGTCAGTACCAGGGTATGGACAGCTCCTGCACACTGCTCTCTCTCTCTCTCTCTCTCGCACACACACAGATTTATTTCAAATACAAATAATGAAACTGCTCTGAGATGGACTCTGTGAGTGCTACTCAATCCAGATTCTGCTGAATTTGCGAGGTTACACAGACGACAGAGGAATCCACATGAATGCCTCCTGCTCAGCCTGTGCTACTTTTTACCAATCCAGTGCCAAGGAATGCCTAATGAAGCCTGTACCAACTTAACGCATGACTCATTTTGTTTTGCTCCATAATGGCCCCTTCAGTGAGTTCATGCAAAAAAGGAGGTTTCTGGACACAACCTACATTTGAAATGCACCCGCATGCACACAGCCACAGAGCAATATTTACTTAACCCCCACTATCAACAGTGAAATATTAGTCTAGGGCAATATTGCAGTATGTGCAAACCCTGGCAGACACTACCCTGGGTAAACACACACTGATCTAAAAGTAGTTTTCATTTTCAGTCAGTGATTCCAGGAGATTCATATCTGCACGTTCCTACACTGGAGACTGTTTAGCAATTAATCACTTGTCAGTTATTCAGTGTTCTCTGCTCCTCCTTCAGCGGAAAACCAGATTTTGAGACGCAAAGTGACGATCTCATACTTTTGATTAATGAACATTTCAATTATGGGCAATGAAATCAGTAGCAATATAGCAAACGTTTAAAACACATCACTATATTCATGTATTGTGTGAATAGGCTGAGGAAGTTGGTTTTATCCTCATAGTTGTTTTGCAAAAAATGTATCGTGATAATTGATATCAAGGGGCCATGTGCTGAGGCTTGAGGCCTCCTGTGCCGTCTGCCGGTTCGGTTCTGACCCGGCTCCTTCCCAACCCTATCCCCAATTAGACGCTACTGCTGTCCTGTCTTTAAATGTGAAATACTGTAAACATATCTTAATGTTGTCTGATACTTCTCTAATGTGCAGATGTGCTGCTTTGACATCACTCTGAATTGAATATATTTGAGTCTTGAAGTGTTAGTTGGACAAATCAAGCTTCTGAGCCTGATTTCTGCAGCTCAGATCATTTGTATTCAGCTCTGAACACGGTTCGCATTGTTTTAACTCACTCTACAATGACATTGAATCAGATCTTAATGTAATATCCGTGAACACGTCTTATAAAACGTAGATATTTTCACTGAAATGAAGGGGGGGGGCATGTCTTGAGGCTGGTGTTGGAGGCTCCAGGTTCAGAAACCTGCTGCTGAGCCAGTGAAACATGGATGAGGCAGCTGGGGACCTCTGCAGCTGCAATACATCGGTAACTGGTGATGCTGATGATAATTCAACTGATTACAGGAAATCAAGCGCAAAGCCTTTCTCTGAAAATGATGCGTAATGCAACACATCCCCACTGAGTGTGAATGTGTGTGTGTGTGTGTGTGTGTGTGTGTGTTATCCGGCTGCAGCGTGGCCCAGCATCGGCCTGTGAATTCGTTCATTTGTGTGAGGCACGGTGTGCGGGTGATGGCGAGAGAGGACGCGTTGGGGGTTTAATCCCCGATGCGTGTGCGCCGGTGCAGCCTCCGGTTCTGGTTTGGCACGTACGCACACATTCGGCGGCGGGCGTTCACGGTGGGTGTTCACGGGGTCCGGTCCTTACCAGTTCTCCTGCATCCATCGGATGGCTTCGTCCTCGTTGAACTGCCTCTCGAACTCGTACTCTTGCAGAGCCAGCACCGACATGCTCGCTGCGCCGTGTGCGTCCTCACTGCTGCTGCTGCTGAAACGGACCGTAACCGTGAGTCCAGCTGCTTCCGGGTTCAATCAGTATTAGTCTCTGGCTTCCACGCGACCCCAGACTCGCATCGCTCGCGCTGTGGCCAGGACCTCGCGGTTGTGCGCGAGCTGTCGTTGGCGGCGCCTTCTTCCTCCAACGCCCTCTTGCTCAGGGAGGCGCTCCCCGGGTCCTAACGCCGCCGGCTCACCTCCCCCCTCGACAGAGTTCATTGCCAAGTCCCCATGAGACAAAGTGTGAATATGAGCTAAACAAACACAACGTGATCGATTGATTTAAGTTGTTGTGCCGTGTTAGTGCAAGAATACACAGAAAAATAGAAGAACAAAATATTATAAATATTATAAACACAAGGAAAAAACATTTGTGCAAAATGAACAGTAGATATTTACAATTTACTCGACTGATTGCAACTTAGTGTCAGCTGTGAATGATCATGTTTCACCCCATTATTGTACAAAAATAACTGATTAAAACTATACAGTCTATGGTTAAAACCTAACCTACCAAAAAAATAATACTTCAGCAAATATCAGGTGATAAAAACTTCATAAAATGAGAGAAACATTCATTTCAACTTTTTGTTTGGCCCTTGATACTTTGACTTTATTGTCTGTCCCTAGCACACCTTCAAACTATGGAATTTGCAAGCACAGTGCAAAGATTTTAACCCCTTCAGATGACATTATGGAAGCGTTTGTTTAATCCTTCCTTCTACAGCCAGCAGTGACAAGAGCAAGGAACAGATGGTGTGGCCCCCCGGGGGGCCCTGATCTCAAGTGACTGAGAAGTAACTAAAGAGACAAAACTAAAGCAGGTTTCATAAAGTTAGATAAAAGGAAGAATGGACATTCAAGGATAGATTTCCTGATTTTCACATTAACAAATTAGAATTAAATGATTTATGATAAGTATTAATTTCAGTTCATTCTTTAAAAATCTAAGTTTTTATTCATTTTCTCTGGGTATATAAAAATACTGGATCCTGTATTTGTTTAATCTTTGGTTTCAAAATCCCAGTGTCAATAAAAAGTTAAACACACAATTTCTCCATTCCCCAGAAGACATGTAGATGATGTCATCTGTCAGTCCAACAGTTGACAGCCTGACTATGGTCCACTCTGTTGCATCATCATCAGCTGTTTCCCAACAATTTGGGAAACTGATGCAACACCTGCGTCATCAGCCGATGCAGGTGGAAGCTTTTTCTTCATCTGAAAAAAAGGTTAACAGGTTAGTGAACCCTTCATGGCACTGCCTGATGGAAGGTTCACCTATCAGACAATAGACTAGATTCAGAGTATTAGGGCCACAAGAAAAAAACTCTGACACTTTGAGAATAAAGTCGGAATTGTTGAATTATACACAACAAACATTTTTTAAGGCCTGAAACTATCAATTTTTTGAAATCCTATTACTTTTCCAGGTTCTCCATGACTGTGGAAGCCCTGTTCATACAATGTGCCTAGAAAGTGCAACCGCAGGTAAATCAGGTTGCAGGAGCAGTTTCGAGACAAGTGTATTTACAGGCTGTTCAGTGTTTCAGTGTGAAGGGAAACCGGCTCAGTGAGGTCAACATGTAATCAGTTCTTTGGCCCAGGCATTGACTAGTAGCTTGTTTTACAAGTTTGCTGTAAGGCTGGCTACAACAAAAGTTGGTTGATGCTGCCTGCAGTTGTCAGAGGGATAATATTATCTAATAGTTTGTTCTCTTTGATTGATCTCTACACATATATCCTCAACTGTGCAATATCCTCAGTGACCAGCACTTTGTCATGAGAGAGCTGTGACTTTTTACTTAGTAAAGGTGGTCTGTAAACTTTGCAGGGCACCAAGTCGTCGATTCTGAATCCACTTGTCCAACAGCCACGTCTTCATCCAGAGGAGGAACAACGCCAGACTGCCAGAACAATTCTTCGTCACTGACAGAGCCCAAAAACATGGAGGAAACCAAAGTGACATGTGGTGGAACTCCTATTACTCCCTTTATGGGAGTGTGGGATTTATACAGTGAAAACACTCTGTAAGAGTAAAGATGAAGGAAACTGACAACTCATCTCTGCACTGTCAATAAGGACTTGCCAAACACAATTGGCATTGTGTAAAAAAAATTCACCCATGTTTTGACAATCCTGCTGACAGTGAATGTTGAAACCATCGTCCAGATCTGTCTCCTTCAGACCGAGAACCGGAGCAGCTCATCAATCATCACAAAGCAACAGCTCCAGAGGCAGGGGGGGGGGGACAAGTAACAATAATATTTGTCTGATCATAAATATATGTATGTGTGTTTATTTAGATTAAATTAGATGGTTAGTGTTCTCTTGGGTGCTGATGAATCTACAAGCTGCTTTCAAAAATGATGTAGCAGCTTTTTCAGGAGCTGCTGTTGTGCTCGGAGCAGGTGACCGTACACCAACCTGCACCATTCTCCTCGATGCAGGCTCTAAAACAGTGAAATACAATTTAAATCAAATAAATACAAATAATGTTCCCATTAAATCACTGCATAACCCATGATTGATGCAGTAGAGAGGCAGAACACCAGCCTAAATGTTTTTGCTTTGGTTAGATTGAATTGCTGCACAATCTAAAATGTATCTGTCTGTTTTAAATCACCTGGTTTAAAACTTAAAACTATGAACAGCACTTAAACCAGCAATGATTGGGTGAGGGAACATTTCCATCATGTTCAACTTATTTTTAATAACTCTTATATTGTTTATATGTCACTTTTTTGTGTTGTTTTTGGCCTTAACCAACTTATTGTGGTCATGTGTTCACAACATGCCCACATACAAAACTCTCATCAGTCTGCAGTATGAATGAAAAAAGGAAAGAGACTTACAAAATAATTTAATGAAATATTATGTGTATTAAGAAAATAAAATGGAAAGTTGGCCACTTTATTATTCTATCAACTTGCTCATATTACATATTATTTTAGAAACTCCTTAAGATGCAGATATTTTCCTCTGATGGAAGCACATCAGAAAATCAGGCTCCTGTAAATCATTATAATGAGAAACCTTCTCAAAGTAATGACTCAGTAACGTTAAAATCTCAGACTGTGGTCGAAGTTTACTTTGGTAACTCAGGTGAGCTCCTGCAGTCACGTGACAGTCTCCACCTGCTGGGTCGAATATTTAACGCACCCTTTTTTTGGCGCGCTCTCTGTTGTGGATCTGACTGTTAACTACCGGGCATGTCTGCTAATACTACTACTTACACGAATACTACTAATGATACTAATACTTATACTATACTGCTGCTACTACTGCTCTGTCCTGATGTGTCCTGATGTGGTCTCAGCCCGAACTTACATCCAGCTGTTATCCAGCTGCTAACCCTGATGTTTGAAGTGGAACATACAAGCTAAGGTTTGGACCATGTGGCTCAACAGCTGGGATCCAGTGCTTCTCTTCCCCAGAGACACTTCTCTTCACCAGGTAAGTTTCTGCTGCTGGTGATATTTCTCTGTGCTGGTGATATTTCTCTGTGCTGGTGATATTTCTCTGTGCTGGTGATATTTCTCTGTGCTGGTGTTGACATCTGTGTGTTTGCTCCACTGATTCTGGATCTGCTGTGTTTGTTGCTCTCAGACTCTTTCTGCAATATGGCTGCTCTCTTCTAGCTCCACCTGTGAATCCACATGTTGCTGAGCTCATTTACCGTCTCTGTTCTTGTGTGGTGGATGAATTCTGATGCTGATTAACACAGAGCTCAAATATTAACACTCGTGTTCTAATATGCTTGTTGTCAGTATTTGTGTTTGTGATGCTTCAGGGGTTTTGGGGGATTTGTTATTGGCTCAGTGTAAACTAGGCCTGTACAGTAGTAGATACTGTATGTTCAATTTCATGTTGTCCTCTTGGACGCAGCTTCTTGGTGGTCATATTAAGAAGCTGTCTACTGTTTTGTATTTAACTGAGCTTTGGAGAATTATTTCTGTGTCGGTTTGTGTAAAAACTATGATGATTCTGCTCAGCTCCTGTGTTGTGGTTCTTGGATGCACCTGCATTCAGCCAGAATTACCACCACCAGCATTTTACCTTCATCCATATCCATGGTCATCTGTTGACTGTCGCCGCATAACATTCTGAGGGTTGTATGATATAAGTCAAGTGAATTGTTTCCACTTGTCACCTCGGTTCGTCGGTTGGTTTATCAGCAGGATTACACAAAAGCTACTGAATGGTTCTCTGTGAAATTTGTTGGAGAGATGGAAAGAAAGAACCCGTTGGTGTGGATCCACTTTCTTTAACATTGGGAAATGATTTCTGAGTGTGTGCAGTTCGATGCAGATCCAGTGAATATAGATATGGGTTCATGGTGGGGTAGCCTGTCTTTCAGCCGTTGCTTGGCAACACATTTTGGTATCAATTTTGGACCAGGAATCTTTGAATCACTTTCTGTGACAAAGTGAGAGAGGAACCTTGGCCGAGTTCTGTGCTCTGCTGAGTGACACTCGAGTTCTTTGCCGTTTCGCTCACACGTTCTTGTCTGTTGCTGAATTTCATGGCCTGTAAACATGTAAACATGTCCCGTTCTCTGCAGCAGCTGGACATGATGAGTGCTCGTACTCCTAATGTCTGGTTTCTTTTGTACAAAGTTGGACGCAGGCTTGTGAGGAGAGCTCAGGCTCGCTGCCCAATATCCGCTCTGTATTCACATAAATGAATCTCTTCCACCTGAGCCAGCTGACTGAGCTGCTCTTATGTTCCCGCACCTTCCTTCCCCTTTTCTCCCCGGTTACCTAATTATGCTTCCTAAAATATCATCTGTTGGATTTCATCATCGCATCATTAGTTTCCCACGGGTCTCTCGGGTGTAGTTTAGCCGTAGAAGCGTGCGTGTGACCTCTCACCGGTCTGTCTAAACATATCATCTTAACGTGTCCCGGTGGAGCATCTGCTGGGGTTGTGCTGCAGCATCATGCGGGATTTCATCACCACAGGCCGCTCTCTCCACATCAAATAAATCTCCAGCGCTGTTGAGGAATGTGCACATGCTTTGTGTGTCTGTGTGTGTGCTCACCTTTGTATCTGCTGTGCGTAGTGAGTGCACCTGTATAGCTGGTCTGCCCTGACGAAGACGTTTGGCAGGTATATCAAGTATCTGGAGCTGCACAGTGTTTACGGGCTCATTTTGGGTGTCTTTTTGTAGCCATGAACATCGCTCGTGTGTGTGTGTGTCTGTGCAATCCTATGTGTGTGTGGCAGGTCCTGAGAACAAGTGGAGAGAGTTATTATCATTGAATCACAAAACAAGAGCTTCTGTTCTGAGTTACCAGACAAACCAGACCAGCTTCAGTTACAGTAATCTCACCAGATATCCCCTGACCCTGAAACACCTCCTCACTGTACACAGCTGATGTTAATCTGTTAGAAACACAGACTTCCTGTTTTTAAAGTTGTGTGTTGTGAACCTGTTTTTCCCATGACCACACATGTGGGATCATAATCCCCCCCCCCCCCTTCATTACCTAACCCGTGCCCTTTTATACATTCAGCACTTTTAACTTCATGACATATTGTTTCTAAAGTTGCTATTTTTTAAATTGATCATGTTCTTGAAACAAGGACAAGCTGCATGCGAATAAATGGCTGAGAATTGTGTCTGTATAATTGTTTGTGGTTTAATTAAACTGTGTATTTTGTAGTGAACATCAAAATAAGAGCAATAAATGTCCCTTGTTAATGGGGGATGTCTTTATTAAAGATTGACCCATCATCTATAGGCTCATACTCTCACAGCTACTTATTCTAGTTTTAATATAAATGTTTTATTTCCATGCAAACCCTCCTCTGGGCCCATATTCACCAGAATACTGCCATCTAGTGGCCTCAGCGTGACTCTCAGCCGATCTGTTTTGCTCTCGACAAACCTGCTCTGGCCCAAACAAATTGGATTCATAATGTATGGCTTACATTACACGGCCGTTCATATCATATCCGAGGCTGTCGAGCAGCAGTAAATCTATTCTATAATATCCCCCAGCAGCACTGTGTGTGACATTGCCAATAAGATGGAGAATTGGTGATATGATGTATGAGTGGCTGAGGTGAATGTATTGTTTTAACCAAAAGGGCAGCAGCTGCAGTCACAGAGTTGTGGTGTGGAAAGTGGAAATCTGACCTATTGGTTTAGAGCGGATGAAAACAAATTCCCCCTGACCTTTCTGCTTCATTACCTGCCATGATGCCTCATAAATTGAGGAGAATACAGAGCCAGTGTCACGTCAGACTCACGGAGGCGACCCACAGTTTTAGTTTCTCTGCCATTTTTCTTTCTCACTTGATGCGTCTGCTTGACCTTGTTTTTGTTTATGTTTCTTGACCTTGGAAATCTGTACGATCACCGTTAAATTAAAGATGCTATTTGCCTAAAGAAAGCTAATGATCCACTGATAAAAAATGTTTTAATGGTTTAACAAGTCCTGAAGTTATCAGGATAAATTTAAGGAATATGTAATTATAGACAATGAGAAATGGTATGAATGATCAAACTGTGCAGTTGGTAGATATTGAGGAAATCTACAGCATAGTAATATCATGGATGTTATGTATTCCTTTCTACTGGAATCAAGCATGAGGTTTAATTTTCAAAACAGAAGATAAATCACTTCAGTATCTCAGGAGCTAATTTTGTTTTAATCAATTGAGTTGTCTATGGCGCCCTCTGCTGGATCATGTGGTCTAATTACAAGCCTGGATAAATGGTGGTGGTGCGTTCACTGACAAATCATCAAGAAAACAACATTAACAACTTTGAGTCACAACCCTGTGGAGAAATAATTTAATTTTACAACCCTGGGTTTATATTTAATAAAAATAATATTTTTTGTTAACAGAAACATCACAAAACTTGGAGCCAGATGATTGCAAATGACAATTCAATACGAACAAATTCTAATCTAAGAAATGTAATATTTAGATGAACATTACATTAAATGGCTTCTTAATAATATAACATTTACAATTACACATCATCTAGGTAGATGCATTTCAGCAGCTCATGTTCCTGTTACATATAGTTAGTAATCTCAGCATATAGTAAATCTTATTTTATCACAAACCGATGTAATTTAGTAAAATGTAAGAACAATAACGTAAAAACCCAAATCTTACTGCAGTGCTGAGGCTGCCCTCTAGGGGTCGTGAAATATATCTGGCAGATCCTGAGATAAGTAGATTAATTTATTTCTGCTGCACAAACCTTTTTTTTTTACTGACTTCTCTCCCTGTTGGTTTTAATGTTGTAAATTTATTTCATTATGATTTTACAACTTCTGGCCTCTAGATACAATTCAGATAAAGTGGATGAACAGTCTGTTAAAGAAGCAACTCGTATACTTAGCTCTGTTTTAGGGGGTTCACAATAAAAAAAAAACACAAAATAAATTTGAAGGGTAATTTCCCTGCACAAATCCCCATATATTAAACAATGGCATCAAACAACACAACAGTGTAACACACACTATATCCCCAACAACAGAGTAATGCATGTCTGTAGCTTCCTACAGAGGAGGATGAGCTGAGCGACCATAACCTGCAGAGATATAAACCTGTAGCTGTCATCTACAACATGATGCTGCTGCTGTAACCATTAATCTCTCAGCCAATCCTGGCCCTGCATAAATGTGTGTGTGTGTGTCTGTGTGTGATCATTAATGACAGTATATGGTGACACCATCCAGCAGGGATTACCACACCGTGCGCTCTGGCTCTCCCACCGTGCGCGGTAATGAAGGGGAGCCGTGGAGACCTGGAGGAGCAGGCAGCAGGTCGCTTTCCACCAGAGTTTACATGGCAGACGACAAAGATGGACGTGACTGTCTTATCAGAGATTAAAACTGTCTGAGGGACACACACACACGCACACACAGATACTGTGTTAGTGATGTATGGACTTGCTCTGGCAGCAGAATTAACAGCAAATCACTGGAAATCAAACTAAGACAAAATAGGTTGTTTTTATTTAACAGGATGAAAAAACTGCAACTACATTCAAACAATTGTTTTCTCTGCAAAAATGTTTAACATCATAGTGACTATCTATATATCTATTGGATTATTCTGAGATCTGAATAATCAAGTTGTTTCTTGTCTGTCATGGAAATCTACGATACTGAGACATGTTGTTTATTATAATTCTCCTGGCAGAACATGTCAATGACAGAACTTTAAGTTCTGAAATTAAAACCACAAGTCATAATCAATTCTGAATTAATGTTAACAGTATTTGTCAATAACATTTATTTATTATTTATACCCCTGATTCTGAAAAGGTGAAGAACATTGGTTTCTTCTGCAGATACTCATCAGAGACAGTTAAGATAAAGAATAAAATATTTTTGTGAAGCTGAATATTAATACTTGAGTGTTTTCTGGTACAGAGTGAGATTCCAGCGGCTCCTCTCCCCTGCAGCTCTCTGCATATGTTCAGATCCTGTGGAGATCAGGCAGAGGGAGCAGATCTTGCACAGATCAATACTTCTTAGTGGGTTTCCTATATCAGCCACACTGAAATCCTGCCATCTGTGACATATAGGTTGAGCGTATAAGTCACTGCTGGGTGGGAATCGAATCCAATAAGTCGCTCTCCTCTCCGTCTGTCCTTGTAGGGCTGGAAGTGCTGCAGGCTTGGAGAGGTGCAGAGCGACCAGGTACACCAGGCGGAGCGTTATTTTACACTTCACTGCGGTCCCTGGTCGTTAATGGTGACTGTCGTCTTATACGATGTCAGAAACAGGTGAAAACCATCAATGCAAATGGAGAATATATAATTTTATAACATGGAATATAAAAACGTCACGGAATTCAAACTTAATAAATGACGTGATTATATAATAATAAACAGAGATTTGCAATAAAACAATAATATTAATGCATAGTTCAAATAACAGGCCGAATTAGAATGAGAAAAATGAAGCAGGCAATCAATGTTTATGTCATCGTAAACAGTAACAGACGTCTCAGTGTAACGTTTGTATATAGTTGTTGCTTGTTTCAAACAGCTGCTCGTCCACAGAAGAGTAAATCTGACATCTGTTGAAACCACTGGAGCTGAAATCGAATGACAGAAATTGAAGTAAAAGCATTGCTCCATATCTGCTGCAGGAAAACTGGAACTTGCAACTTTTTATAAAGGAGCAAGCCAAATAAATACAATATTTTACGAGGAGCAAACCTCTTACAATGACTAAGCAGGCAGCTTCTATGTTTTGCTCGACGTCTGTGGATGGAGTTACATGTTGAATTATAGTTGGTCTCCAACCACAAGCTGCTGCTGGCAGGACGGACACAAGCAGCAACAGGCTCTGATGGAAACAGAGGAGGGAAAAGCACGTTGATCTCAGGTCACATGCAGTATAACACAAACACAGAGGAGTACATCATGTGAGAAACAGCCTGTTTCCTGCAGACGTTTGTTTGTTAATAAGCAACGTTTTCCTCCTTTTAATGCAATCGACTGCTGGACGGTTGGACGTCACTCAGCTCAGTCTGACACTGATTAAACACAAGGCAGGTTAAAAGAAATTATTTAAATCAGGTGGAAAGTAACAAACAATTTAACATGAGTTATATCTGCTGTATTCTACCTTGTTTCAGGATTTGTGTTTCTTTGCAGTCAGGACTACAGCAACAGAAGTGTTTAAGTGCAGAGTTGGTGATTTTCCAGATTTGAGTTGCTGGTGGCCAGATTTTAAAGTTGACTTCCCATGTGATTGTTTGAACTGGAAGAAATGCTGAATCTGCAAATGCAAGTGTGATAGAAATATCAAAAGATGTTTTCCTCGCCAACAAAAGACACAATTTCCAAAGTTTCCTCAATATCCTGCAGCGACTCTGCACTGAGCTGAAGTGGTTCAATGATGTGAAGCACACGTGTGATGTTAAATGTCATGTTTAATGATTTTAATGATATTAAATGTCCCCCTTTCTTTCTTATTCCTTCCATAACTGGATCACATGAAAGCTCAGAGGTTGTTTTTGTGGCATCAGGCTGGAATATGTGATGTAAAGCTTCTCTCTAAGTGGTCCTCTCTATAATGTTGTGCATTTTATGCCCAAAGATGTTTGCACAGCTGGAGTCAGATCAGTGTTTTGAGTACATGACATCAACTCTGCATGGTTTGGGGTTTTGTGTCCTTTGGGACTAACCTTGCAAAGGGTTGCAAACCCTTAGTTTCTGAATTATTTGTATGTCTTCCAATTTTGATACAGTGTCTGATTGAAGCATAAAACAGTTTAATCATGTTCTAAGAGTTTAAATGAGGGTTATTGTCATCAACGAGGCGGACTGGCAGGATTTCACTCGCATCAACTGAGAAGCAACAAATGTCTTTTTCTGATTCGCTCTGCGTGTGAAAGAAAAACACATTTTCCAACACAAAATAGAAAGAAAGGAGGGGGGGGAGCTAAAACAAACACAAGTGCTCAGGTGTAATTTTCTATCTTGAAGTCAGAGCCTGAGAAAACTGTGCTGCCAGGCTGCTCGTCAGACGCAGACTCCGGGTGGCTGACAGCGGTGAGCAGAGGTAAACGTCAATTAACGTTACAGTAGATGACAGGCCTAAAGAAAACAGTGCTGAGAGATGCCATCTGGGGCAGACTGTGTAAACTGAAGGTGTCTGAACACGATGCTTCAGATAAGGCTAAAATGTTAGCAGCTTTAGACTTGTCAGGTTAACATGAAGAGGCATGAGGAAGACTTCAGGCGGCTGGTGTGCCTGCAGGCTGCCTGTTTTTCGGAATTATACGTTGTTTCTATGCATTTTATAATTTTCCATAGATTATGTACAATTCATTTGTGGATAGGATCTGAATAAAAAAGAATATAGGATGTGTTTCATATGATCCACACAGAACATAATACAGGATTACCGTTTTTTCTTGCAGCTGTACGTCGACCTTAATGCTGCATAATACCACTTGAATGGCATTTTTATCCAGAGGAGTTTGAGCATGCAAGCTTTTCTTCTTCTGCAATAACCTGCCACACACACACAAGAACACACACATGAGAGAGCTCCAGGAGCAAACTAGGTGTTAAGTGCATTTTCTATTTTTACGTATTTGTTTTTTCCACTCGGGTACCTCAGAGGGCAAAATGCCTCAGAGATTCCTTCAACATTTTCACCCCACCTACGATGACTGATGTTCACTTTTTCCCTCTAAAGATGCCAACTGAGCTTTTGAAACGTCCCCACCCAGGCTCCTGAAAAGCTGCCTCTCACATGGCGAAATATACGTGACACCTACAGGTAAACTGTATTCGTAAAGATTTTTTTAACCCTGGGTATGTTTCACGAGTCTCTCCTGATGGATCATTTCTCCCCCCCTCCCCTCCCTATTTCAAGGTCTATGAGAGCCGTGCTGCTGATCTTTCCAGCATGCTTAATGTGCAGAAATTGATTTGCAGAGAAAACATCTCAGATGTGTGTTTTGTTTTCATCTTTCTTTAATAGAACTTCAGTGAGCAGGAAGTGTGTGCGTCATGAAATTCGCCCTGGTTATCTGCTTTCACACGCTCCGGCCAGACGCCTGCCCTCAAACAGCACTGAGCCCCCACTGCGAGAGGAGCTCATACACACATCTGCACGCACATGTTCACATACATACATGTATGCATGCAAGATGCACACACGTACACTCAAGATGCACGCAGCATTGAAGAAGTAATGCGTGTGTGGCGATTCTCAAGCATGGAGGCAGAAATGAACCAGCGAGTCAATATTTTCACACAAAGCACAAGCTCAAGGCAAAGACATACTTTTTTCCCTCCCCTTTTTACATTCTGCAAACAAATGTGAATGTTGTTACAGTGAATAAAAAGCAAATTCTACAATTTATCTTTCGTCGATGCCGTGGAAACAAAGCGAGCAGGTCAGAATTAGAGACGACGTCGTGTGAGTTCCGCTCAGAGGTGGACGGTCATGCGTCTTGTTATGGAGGAACGTCTCCTCGGGCCTTAGGTGAGGGTGAGAATGTGTGAGGTCAGACCATGTGACCTTTAGCTGAGGCCGCTGGGCCGCCATTGGTCCAGAGCCAAACCCCCATAGCCACAACCACCCACCTCCCCCAGACACAGAGGAGTCCTCTCTGCTGCACTTACAGGGGACGGAGAGGAGAGGAGAGTGTCTGGAGGTAGCATGTGTGTATGGAGGGAGTTTAGTCCTCAGATAAAATACGTTGCTGAATACATGCAAGCGTGTGTATGATTTTATAAGTATACTGGGATTTAAGAGAGATGTATCTCTATACATTTCCATTATTCAATTGTTATGTTAAACATATGAAGGATATTTAAGAATGTAAGTGTGCGCGTGTGTACATTTGTATGTAAATTGGTGGAGATACAAGAAAGGTGTATCTCTATACGTTTCCATTATTCAGTTCTTATGTGAGTAATATTTAGATGGATACGGATATGATATATATTTGTCTTTAAATTAAATATCTTGCTGAATCCTACACATTCTCATACACGTGTGTATTTATGTACGTAAGTATGGTGTATCTCTTTTCATTTCTAGTATTCAATTCATTTATACAACATATCTAGAAGGATATATGAGGATGGACGGATGTATATTTGTCTGTAAATAAAATACCTTGCTACATGCGAGTGAGTGTGTACAGGCGTGTATGATGGAATATAAGAGATGTGCATCTTTATACATTTTCATTATTTAATTCTTATATGAAACCTACAGAAGAATCTATGAGGATGTGTATTTTGTCCTAATATAAGTGGAGAACTACACATGCGGCTGTGTGTATATGTATTTCCATGTGCACCATGTTTATTTGGTATATGTGTTTTTAAGAAGGAAACACGTGGACATTATTTGAAAATAAATCTGACTTGTAGAAAACAAACGAGCTTTTAAAAACCTGAAAATTGCTGATTTCAATTGAGACCTTTGAGATTTTGAAGTTGCTCTGTCAGAAAGGAATTCCTGCTGTGTTGTGATTTTAATTTTTCCCTTTTGCCTCATTACTATTACATCAAAATTAACCTCCATGTATCTGAAGCATCTGAATTCAGCACATGTGCCACTCTTCCTTTTATTACTTAAAGATTAAACTAAATAACCTGGTACTCTCTGGACGAGTTCATTCTTGAAGTGCATAATCTAAAACCTTTTTTGCAAGTCTGGCACAGTTTGTCCATTCATAACACATTAATATCTGTAACTATTTCCATGTGTGTGATTTAAACTTTTAGGCCTGTGCTGTTTATATTTGTATCAAAACTATCTTTATTTATGTGTGAGTTCATGTGTCTCATGCAAAAGGTGTTAACGTGTTTGAGAACATGCAACAGTAGAAATCCAGGCCTCATCAGCGTGTAATTAGCAGAACACGCTCCCTGATTCATCGCATGCAGGATGTTCAGGTGCCGCTTCATGAATACTGACAGCTTGTTAATTATTCAGATTAAAGCCTGTAACGATACATGTTTGGATATTTGCACTCGCTCGCTTTTTTATTTGAATTCCCATCGGAGTGGAGGTGAAAGCTGCAGCGTCGGTTCTGTGTGTGTCGGTGTGTGTGTCGGTGTGTGTGTGTTTCATCGGGTTTTATTTTTAATCACGCTGGCGGAACAAATCTCACATCAAGATGTACTTGTGCGTTTTAGGTGCATGTGCGAAAACCGAGAGGTGGGAGGAGAAGTATAAATTTGCTTTAAACATGTAGCGAGAATTACATCTTTGTTGGAACATGAACTACACGAGTCTGCCGTTTTATTGAGTGTGTTTCTCTGGTGTTGTTTAACCTGCAGATGTTTTTACTCTGACCCAAACTTGGTTTTACGCACAAGATGACAACAGTGTGCGAATTCATAATGGATTTCTGATCAAATGCAGCCATGGCACAAACAAAATCCTCCCTTCTCTCTGCAGGGATCGATAGTTAAAGTGCACATGCAGCCCCAGCAGCTAAGTGTACTCCATGTTGTTTCCCCCATTTAAACTTTAATAAGCTCTTACCTTGTGCAGGCTGGAGAGGAGAGGGGGGTAAAGGTCTGCAGTCCTGTGCGCCGTTTCAGCCAAATGAACATTTCCCACTGAAGCCTCCTCTTCAGGGTCATCCCCTGTCCACATGTTGATTGTGCGGATGTGTATTGAGGCTGCAGACTTGCGTATTCGTCCCTATACAGCAGCCGAGGCTTATCCCCCCCCTCCTGTCAGCTGATTATTGCCCCGCGTTACCGGCTCCATCAGAAGGTGACACAAGGGGAAAAAAAAGGAAAAGAGGCCGCAGCTTTTCTTTCTTTTCTTTTTTTTAAAGAGAGAGAGAATGTGATTGTGGCTGCAGGGAATCTCGTGGGTGTTTGTTGTTTTTTATGAAAACAATTTGGACAAAGTCTGATTTATTTCTCTTCATAATACCCCCCCCCCCTTCCAGAAATGACCTCGGGCCTCTTCCAGCCTGACACCAGCTCCTAAATCAGCTCCAACAAGAGGCTGCCATCGCTTTTTTTTTTTTTAACTTAAAAAAAAGAAGATCCCGGTTATTTTAATGGTAATGACACTTTCATATAATCACACGGAACAATTCAACTCATGGTGCACATTATGGAGCTGATCGCTTGCTGCTCAGGCTGCAAACCCAGACTTTATCTATCTGGCTCTTTCTTTCTGCAAGAGGGGGCATGGCGGTGCTTCCTCCCCGGTGTCTGCGCTCTCCCTGCGGCCACGAATCTCCAACTTGTCCCCCACCTCCGCCTCCCACTGTCAGCATCGCCCCGCATACCTTCGTGGGTGTGTGTGTGTGTGTTTGAGCTTTGTTTGCTTAAGCTTGTGAATCAGAGATAGTTTCCTTTTTGTTTTGCTTTGGCGCATTATGCGTCACCATAACTCGTAATGTGGCAAAGTTACAGAAGGAAGGCGGATAGAAGCGCGTGTGAGGCTGCGTAAAGATGTGGGACAAACTATTATGACAAATTGTCCTAACGGTTCATTAAAATCTTTTACATTTCTACATTAAATTCAGACAATTTGGACAATTTAATTGAACTAAATTCCCTTTAAAATTAAAACATAAATTCACTGCAATGTGCATTGTTGCGCCTTTTCTAATGATCCACTTCAGAGAATCTCAGACACATGCAGGCAGAGAGAAAACCCCACTGACTCTAATGGACTCTTGTCGTTGTTGTGTGGTCCAACTCCTGTTTGTTGATTCCCGTGTTATTTCAAGCACCAGTGACCAGCCGAGGCCCGAGACATGTATTCAGCAGTTAATCTGACGGAGCATCTCGCTGCTATGTGTATTGGAGCGGTCCCATTGTTTTCCTCTATAGATTAGGCGGCACAAGCACCTCACATAATCGAAAGACTATAGACAGACTGTCACTGGCCTGCACTCCACTAAAGCAACACAAAGATTCAATAACAGCAGAATGTTTTTGAACAATATATTTACTTCCATTAAATAAAACACAATAGTTTTTTTGGATGTTGGAAAAAAAAAGAGAAACATAATTCCGTACCAAATAGTATACACAGAGCAAAAACCAAATAATTTGTCGCAGGAACATTTTTGATGCGTCTTTTTTTTTTTTTTTTAAGTCCAGAATTGCTATTCTAAATCGATATTCACACAGACATTAATAATAAATTTATAATATGTTAGAAACACACAACTGGTGCGTTTTAGTATGTACATTCCCTTTTGTTTGCAAGCAAAACATGATTCCTTTTTAGGGTTTTATTTTTTTTTGTTGTTTTAGTTTTTCCACATGCGTTGATAAATTGAACCTGGAGAGAAACTTGGAGGGTTAAAGCGCATTCCCCTCGACAAACAGGAGATGATAGTTCAAATATATATATACAACCTTTTTTTTCAGTCAACATTTAACGTCCAGAGAAAAAGAAAATAACCCTCATGAGGAGTTTTATGAAAATGAACCAGGCTTGTGTTTTTTCTTCTTTTTGACGGTGGCGCAGTGTGAAACAGGCCCGGACTCATCGAAGGGGGATAAACCTAAAAACTCCCGGAGCTGAGCTTGATTCAGTGGTTCAGTCTCTAGTGCCCTTTTTCTTTTTGGAAAAAATGAAAAAACTAAAAAGTAGTTGTAGTAGTCTCTTGTTCCTGTGGCCGGCTGTTTGTGATTACGCACACACACCCACACGCACACACACACACACACACACACGCACACACTGCAAAAAATGACCACCATAACAAGCCAACCATCAAATCTTATTTTCCTGCTGAAATAAAATTAAATCTAACAACAGGGAGCGGGTGGATAATCTCACAGGGTTCTTTAATGTTGGGGAATGTTCAAGGGGCAAGTGGCGATATGGTGAGGAAAGAAACAAGGGCCAAAAATAATGCAGCATTCCAACTAAGATGCCAGTCGATGGAGGAATTTCCCTAAAGGCATGAAAAAAAGTAAAAACCAGATTTCCTCACCCAAATTACGCGCAAAATCACGCCACTACAGCCTTTGATGACTTGTTAGGGTGGTCGTTTTTGGCAGTGCAGGTTGGTATTAGACGGGTCTGTCCACGGCGTACTGGCAAGCGCTCAGATTCGTCGCCGGATTCTGCACACTGGCGTATCCAAAACTCGAGTGCTGCTTGGCTTTCAGTCTCAGGCTGGCCAGGCTGGAGTTACAAGTGTCCCTGTACACGTAAGGAGGGGTCGGCGGCGCGTAGGGGCAGGTCGGCGTGGGGACCCCCGAGTTGAGCGACGGGTTGCTGAGGTTGTTCAAGTTGTTGAGGCTGTTGAGGCTGGAGCCCGGCACGCCCGTCACCGCCGATGGCACCATGCTGGAAGTCATGGAGGATATGGAGTTGGGCGGCGAGAACATGGTCTGCGAGGACAAGGGGTTGACGTTCATGGAGTTGAAGAAGGGGAAGCTTTTGGTGGATAAGGAGGCCGAGGTGAGGCCCTTGGCGGCCCAGTTGTTGTACGTGTAGCTGGGGTACATGTCTTCGTAGGGCTGCATGAGTCCGTTGAACTGAGGGCCGAAGCCGTTTTTGCAAAGCTCGGCTTGTTGGTTTCTTTCCCGTTTCCTCCACTTGGCTCTCCGGTTCTTGAACCAAACCTAGAATAAAGAAAATTAGAAAATGTTAGAAAATTATTTTTGAAGATGAATTATCAATTAAAACCTCAATATCTCTATGCACATTATCTTTGTGTGAACATACTTAATTATTTTGTAATTGTTTATAAAGTTTTATGTTCAATTAATCCCTTTTTTCCTAAATAATCACCGTGCGTAAATCCAAACAGGCTTCATTAATCCGCTTTGACTGTGTCTCTTATCTGAGGAGAATACACACCGGCCTGTCACTGCACCATCCTAATGTGGCGTGGATGTGTATTCCCCTGCAGGCTTCCACAAACACACTGACCTCCAGCACACCACACCAGGGCGTCAATCGCAAAATACAAGCTTTGCACCTCTTTCACACGAACAGGCGAACACGACTGGTATCTGTCACCGACTCAAACTGTTAACGTCAATAATGTGTTGGTACACCTCAACAGGCAAATAACAAACAGCTCGTTTTTTCCTGTTTTATTGTAAAATTACTGAAAAGAGTGAAGTCTGCAGACCCACAAATTAATTTGTACCAAAAATGTATTATTTTGCGTCATGTAATTATATTTAGTTTATTAGATAAACATATACAGTGTAATTAATTTGAGCTTGAACAAGTAGTTTATTTAAACAAAAGTCAGATTATTTGTTTTTTTTAGCTAAAATTATGTCCTTAATTATTTTCTTGGAAATTTCAGCCGTGCGCAAAGATTGGCGTCCGTGCGTAAAAATACTAACGTCCAGGATATTTGTAGTTAAACCGGACAATTGGCACGAATTACGCAAAATTATCCACACGAATTGTTTTTGTTTATACCCAGGGGACTTACTCACCCTGACCCGGGCCTCTGTGAGGTTGGTCCACACGGCTATCTCCTCCCTCGTGCTCATGTCCGGGTAGCGATTCCGCTGGAAAGTGGCCTCCAGTTCCTGCAGCTGCTGGCTGGTGAAGTGAGTCCTCTGCCGCCGCTGCCGCTTCTTTTTCGAAGGGTCATCCGAGGAGTCGTCGTTTTTATTCTGGTTCTTTTCTTTTTCTGTGGAGAGGAGAGCACAGTTACTTTAGTTCAATGGATTAAAGGCCTTTATTGCTACAGAAAATAAAACCCTGAATCCACGACCCTCTTGGGAAATTGTTGAGCTGTTTGTTCCGACTCCGATTCATAAAATAACCCCACGTTTCATGGTCCGAAATTTGTGCTGCCTTCGTTTTATTGGATCTGTGTTAATCTTCTAATTCCATGTTGACATTGAGACTTATTTTATTTAACATAAGAAAAGCTCTGCTCCATTTACATGGCACGGAAACTTGTCACTACAACACCACACACACACACACACACACACACTCAGGCCAGAGTGAAAACTAACTATCCGAGTAAAATAACAGCTGTAATCTTCTATCTGCATGCATGTAAAACCGGGAGCCATCTTTTGTTTGGAGACATCTGCGACTCCTTGCTGAGAACATCTGCACCCCGGGCGGCTCTTACCGACAGACTCCGGGCTGGAAGTGTCCGACACGGTGTGCACCTCATGCCGGTGTTTAGAGTCCACAGACCGCTGCAGCGGCTGTAAACTAGAGGCCATCGCCAGAGCCGTGTAGTGCGTGGAGGCAAGTTTATTCCCTGTGTGGTGGTGGTCTGTGTTTAATGGATCCCTCATAGAGTTCATCGGCAAAATATCGCACCACTGGTTGTCAAAAAGCAGATTAAGTCCCTTTCAGTACTGGAAGGATGAGCGGAAAGTCCGACTGCGGAATGTGTTCAGCAGCTCTCCAAAATACGCACAGCAGCGCGGTTCCTCTTGCGGCTGAGTGGAAACCCCTCGTTGTGTTTGAGCTGATAAATGCTTTAAAATAGGCCATTGAGCGCTGCCATGGCATCGGTGGTGAACAGCGGCTACCTCTGCTGAGTATCAGAGTGACAAGGACAGGTAGGTGATATTAGATCCAGAGGCATACACACACCACACCGCTCTGTGTTCATTTCAGCTGTTGCCTGCGCACTGCCCATCCAACTGCGTCTCTATCCAGACCTCCACGTCACCACGTTACGCCCGCCCAGATTTCCTCTGACAGGCGCATGCATGTGGATATGACAGTGTGCCCGACCAACCGGAGCTCGCAGAAACGAGATATGTCTGCCAATGCGTAATGCCGGGCTGGCCGCTTATTTTTCTGTTCCAAATAAAAGCATGTAAAGAGAGCTGGGACGCACGGTGCACCCGCGGCGCTCCGAGGTGCCTTTGCGCAGCAGCTCAAGACCAAATAAAAATGAAAATAACACAGTTTGGCATTGTTTTATGAGATGGGTCCAGTGGCCCAGCAAAACGACGCAGTTCTATTGATACCCGAGCTGAGCCGCGTGCTCACAGTCCTTCTGTCACTGCAGTTTACTCAGGGACTCAATGTGGATAAAGCGAGGCACTGAGAGGATTGTACTGAAAGCGCAAAGAAGGAAAATAAAGATGCGCACCGAATATCAAACAACATACAAAGGAATGGCGCCGTGACAGGACGAAGTGGGGGGGGGGGGGGTGTAAATGTAGCCTCAAAGGGAGGGGGTCCAGGCCTGCCTGCTCCAAACTCTGTGCGCACTTGTCAACTGACGCTAACTACCAGACATGTACAGTATGTTAAAACGAGCACATGTGCAGCTGGTGCGGCTCACCCTAACCCCAGAATTCCACATGTTCATCCAAGATAAAAGAAGTTAAAGAGGATGTGAAAAGCAACCAACAAATTCAGTTTAAGTGCCCCCCCCCCCTCTGGAGCTCTAATCCTCTGACACTTCAGGAGATGAATGTTGTAAAATATTGTCCAAAAACTTTGACCCATCTGAGCTGTGGTGGTTCACTGGTCTCCACATCCCCAGTTACGCGCAGGGGGGAAAAAGCATTGTCAGTCATATAGTTGTCAAATGAGGCCATCCTCTTGACCTCCCCAGAGTTAAGGTTCACATATCCATTAAATCAACCCCAGCGGAGCCGCAGTTAACCGCGCACACTCGGGTTTGTTGACGACGGATTACTTCATCAGAGTGCTTAACTGGATCTCTGTCCTCGCTGTGCGTTTGGACCCCTCAGCCAGGGAGCTCTCCTGTTGCGTGTTTTCTCTCTTTTTAATCTGATAAGCTTCTCATTTGCCTAAGAATTTCTGGAAAAGGACTTTTAATGAGTTGGAGCTGATGTGCAGTGATTTTTATTTTGAGTCCCTAAAGATTGTGACTTGTCTAAAGGCAAAGTAAACACGTTTAATCAAACAGAGGTGAGTTTAATTTTCAAGGTGGTGGTGGTGGTGGTGGTGGGGGGATGTCAGCTCTGTGACAGGTGAGGAGCCGTGGAGCTGTTTTTACAGAGATGAGGCTGCGTAATTACGCAGATTCACAACAGTGCAAGTGGAAAAATGTGCTTAAATATGCAGGCTGGTGATATTCTATACATTTTCTCTTACTCCATATAACACTAAGATATCATCATTAGATCATCACACACGTCCCTGATCCACGTGGCCATTTGGAATCGGCGATGTTAAGAAGTTAGTGGTCTAATCCCGCAAAAGCCCCTGATATATAAAGACCAGCAAACCAAAGACTACACACACACACACACACACACACACAAACAAACCAATAAACCCTTGTTTTGAACATGTGTGAGTAATTCTGTTTAGATGATGCAAGTTTTTAAAATGATGGTCGTTCATATATTTTTCAATTTTGACATATGTATCACCACCAACACATTATTTTATAAATGCATCATATCATCAAACATTGCCAACATCCTCTTGAGAGAAAATTAAATGAAAAACATAATTGAGGCCTATGTATAATATACATCTTATAAATATCTATTTAAAAACCTTAAAATTAAGAACAGTAACATCACATCTTGTGTGTATTTATTTCGTGTCCGTCAGTAAACAGCGTGTTGCTCTTTCTTCTTCTCCCTCCACTGCAACGCTACTAAACCTGAAGTGGATTATCGGTCTCCTCTTCATTTCTACCTTGTGAATGCTTTATCTCTCTTCTGCGGATTACTACGCGCAGCAGGCCTCTGTCATAGAGGGCCATTAATTAGCGATTCAGTCAATACAGGAGGAGACGAGCGGGCTTTTTACATAGGATTAGGTTTGACATCACATTCCTCCATTAGTATATTCCTCCTCACGAATGAGTTTCCGTTATACATTTAGTTTTTCTGTCCCCGGAGTCGATCGAACGAGCGCTGCATATTTTACTGCAGCGTGTGGTTGACGCCTCTGCATCATCCTCCACCTCTTTTATTTTTATTTTCTTATAATTCATAATCAATGATCGCTCACCATGTGCAGCTATGTCCTGACTGCGCTCTGTCCCACATCGACGCTGGACGAATGGAGCAGAATGATCAGTTATCGGTTATTCGTTTACCTCCCTAACAAGACTTGATGTGATTTCCCGTCTCCAGAGAAGAATAATTAATAAATCCCACATTTAAATGCAGGATTCCAGCTTTATCTTGTTAATTTTCTTTTCCCCGGAGGGACGTTATTTTGGAATGAGAATTAGATTTGAGCCTCATGTGTTTTCCTGCAGCTTTGTTGCAACAAAAGTCCTTTAAACTCCAAATTAAATGCTTTTATATTCATTAATAATCATACAGGTTTTAATTGCATCAAATATCTTCCTTATTAAATCATTCTAGGGTGATGATGCTCAGTGCTTTTTCTGCATGCTTCCCGTGCAACTCTGCAGCTGCATGTCCCACATGTGGCCGCCAGGTGTCCCCCTAAGACAGAAAACAACCTGGACCA